TGAACTTGGCGTAATCATCTATGTATAAAAATGAAATTAGGTAACTTGTGCTCGGACAAGAAGCCTACAAGCTGCAGGCAACAGTAAACTGGATAGAAGGGAGAGGGAGGTCAGTCGGGTGTAGGCTCTTATCAACAGATATGTGGTAAAGAAGGTACTGAAAAGTAGCGTAAAATCACTGGTTGAGCTACACAAACACAAGAATCCGGCAGGTGCATCAGTGGTGGGGGCAGTTGGTGGGTTCAATCGTGGTATGAATCTGGACTCAATAAGTTATATGCAGGGAGTTTTAATTCAATGCCTTCAAGTTGATTATTGTGATAGTTTAATTTATGGGGAGGAAGGCAGGCTGAAGTTGTCGAGCAAGGAAGCACTAACAACTCACTTCACTATCCGAATCAAGCTCACTATTTCAACACATATATTTTTTGTTAATTAAAGCAGCAATATGTCAATCTTTCATTTTGCTGGCACCATGTTGTAGCTGAACAAACTAATGACAACTTCATTTTTCATTTTATTATTTGGTAGTCCTGTTGGAAGCTGTACTTACTCTTCTTTAACTATTTTGATAGATACTCTTCTTCAATTTCATTTTAAGCACTTTTGGTTGATTTAAGGAAGAACATTTTATTCACATTATGGGCTGAACTTTTGATTCACATTATGGGCGGTTCAGGGTTTCTTAGCTGTAGAAATACCGTTCAAACAACCATGTTGAGAATGAAGTGATTGGAAAAGAGTGGATTTTTTTTATAATGGATCAAAGGGACGACGAGATTCAAATTCTTGGTGCTTCAGTTTATCCAAGCCGGAAACTAACAGTATAACAGCCAATGACCTGCTGCAATGACATGATGCATAATCCACTTGAGAGAGTAAATTCATTTTTGAATATCCCTCTTGCTAGACCTGTCGTGTAAAAATGGACCAATACAGCTCCAAATGAACTAGAACTCCAATGCTGCTCTCCATCCTTCTCATTCAGCCAATTTTGTAGCTTTGCGCCATCTTCATATCACCAACCATCTGTATTTCACATTACAAATGCCCAATCTCAACATGGGTGATGCAGTCCTGGTTCATTGATCAACGAGGGAAAATAGGACCTCTGACTCCTAGCTTCTGGGCATTTCTACTCCAACTTGAGGTTTTCTTTGATTCTGGAGAATACTGAAAATACTAGCTCAAAACTTTCCTATGTATTGATGATATTTGTGTCCAGTTCACACTAGAGTCTAGGCAGCTGATTCTCGTTACCGGCCCCTTAAACATTTCCTGAATTGCTAAGACGGCAGGTAACCAACCACACATAAAATCCGTTAAGATAATATAACCTTAAAAACCAATGCTATAGTATGACACAACTGAATTGCTTAAACCTTTTCTGAAGTGTCTTTGCCATTACTAGAGATTCGTATGCCTCTCACTGCGAATCAGGAACTTGTTACAACTCGCAATAACTAGTCTTCCTGCTACAACTCCATACTATTCTCATAGGACACAACAAGTAGGACGGAACATAAGAACACCCCAAAAACAACACAATAGCATCAAATCCAAGCATTCAGCAACAGACCAGAAGGCACGCCCATGGTGGAAACAACTCCAAGTAATTTATAATCGACGGAGACAGATCACAGCCAAGGGGACGATGCAGCGGGATTTAGCTCTCTTATTCTTTGACTAGGCTTCATCAAGTATCATGGCAACGTTGCTGCTCAGAGACAGAGCAACGAAGACGACGCGTAAATCGGGTCAAGAATCAGTTGATCCCAATAACTCAAGTTGTTGGGAGAGGTTCAATTGTGGATCATATACTGTTTACTAACACCCCCTTCAAACTCAAGCCATTCAGATAGGCTTGGATTTTGGACAGGCACAGGTCCGAACACTGTGTGCTTAACAGAAAGCAGATGGGGGCCACCGGGAATCAAACAGAAGACCTTACGGTCACAGAAGGCTCTGATACCATGTCAAGAACCAGTTGATCCCAATAACTCGAGTTGTTGGGAGAGGTTCAATTGTGGATCATATACCGTTTACTAACAAATCGATGCTTATGTTTTGCAGAATAAATAGAGGAAACGGAGAATGATCCGTTAGGTTCCTGCGGCGGACCTTGAGATTTGATCGACGATAGAGTCGTCAAAAGTGATTTTGTAGGCCACCGGAGAGGGAGATTGAGGAGATGAAGATACACATTTTGAGTTTGTTTTCAATCTCCCCTTTTACTGGTCTATCTCCTTTTTAAATGAGAAGAGGGTGTGGAGTTTGTATCGGCGATGGTGGAGTTCGCCGAAACAGCTTGTTCGCTTGACAATTGGCAGGCGAGAGATCGTGAAGGACGGAGAGAAAAAAAGGCAGTTCTAAATCAATAAAATTCTCAAATCTCAATTAGTTACCGGACGTCGGAAGGAGAGACAAACAACAGTCTATTACGTCTGTTTTGGCAGCTCAATTTGGTTAGATTCGATGGGTAGATAAGTTTGGGAGAGAGGATCTGGTGACTAAGGGGGTGCTTAGTCACTTGACTAAGGGGGTGCTTAGTCACTTGACTAAGGGGGTGCTTAGTCACTTGACTAAGCCCCTCCCAGCCCTTAGATCTGGACACATCAATTTGATGGTTAAAAAGTGGGAATGACTATTTAATTAATGACATGGGTAGTTTGGGTATTATGGAAAATTATGAAGTATACAAACCGGACTTACAATCAGTACAAACCATACAAACATACGAATAGTACAAACTAGAGCGACAAAACATACAAACAGATTTACAAACATTACAAACATATAAACTGTACAAACAATACAAACTAGACCGACAAACAATACAAACCATACAAAAAGAAAAAACAACCAGGTTGGCTTTGGAGGCTCCATCACTATAAAGAAGGGCTCATTCCCAAAGTCAACCCGGGTGTTCTTTAGCCATACAAACATTACAAACATGGTGGACAAAAATGACAAACTAGACCAAAAATTCATACAAACTGTAAAAACACCCGGGTTGACTTTGGAGGCTTCATCCCTATATAGAGGAGTTCCATCCAAAAGTCAACCAGGTTGTTTTTTAGACATAAAAAACATTACAAAGCTTACAAACATTACAAAAGAAACCCACAAACATTACAAAATAACAAAGTTAACAAAATAAACCGACAAATAGTACAAAGCATACTAACCGTACAAAATGTCACTAAAAATGACAAACAAGAATGATAAACAATACAAACCGAATCGATACAAACATTACAAAATAGATCAACAAACATCACAAATCTAGCAGTGCCGCCGGAAAAATCCTTCTCCGTCGTCGCTGGTCGCCGGAAAAATCTCCTTCGATCGCCAGGAAAGTTTCCTCCGTCGGCTCTCTCGGGAAAATAAATGTCCAGGGAATAAAGATCCTGGGGAAACAAATGTCCATGGAATTAAAGCGTCGGGGGAGATGGGGAAGAATAATCTCCGAGCGCCTGTAGTAGCGACGCAACGACGGGGAAGTTCCCGGAAACGCGTCGGGGAAGATGACCTCGCCGCCCGGTGCAGGTCACCTGTTTTTATTTTTAGTTGATAAATAATTAAATCATGTAATTACTTTATTATCCTTCATTAAAAGAGATCAATTGGAGCCATTAGATTTAAATGAGGTTCAATGTCTGAGATTGATTTTAGTCACCTGATCTTAGCCCTAAGTTTGGGCTAAAACTAAATATAGTAAGCCCGTGTCACATATTTGCCTACGTGAACCAATAAAAAGTCGCGTCACCAATGCGGCATTTTTTTAGCGGCACCGTAGCATCAGCCTATTTTTATAGGTTTTAATCAAGTTCCATCTGATGACGTCCCAAAGCAGAATCCAGATTGGGCCCGTATTTCCCCATGAACTTTCTGATGTTTATCTTGGGAATGGATCAGGTCAGTAACCTTATGGTGAGTAACCATGAGTAACCCGTCCACATCAGCATGACATCAGCATCCTCTCTCTCATGGAAAGCCTTTAATTTTTCCCTCTTTAATCTTTGACGGACGATTTATTGCTCATTTTAAGTCGAAATTTAATTTTTTTTGCACAGTTAGATCAGATTAATTGTGCTCTTCAAAATGATATCCACTTTAATATATATTTTTCGAACAAAAAAAATTGAGTCATTTTTTACCAGCCTATACCATATGGTATTGACTGGTATTGAAATAAAAGCATACCTATGTTTTGAAAAACGTACCATGGTGGTATGAACAAACCAATACTGTAGGATGGTTGAATACATGATAGTAGAAGTATATTAATTGTAATTTACGACTTTTAACATTGTATACCACACAATACCACCCCGTACCAGGGTGGCATTGTATGGTATTGTGTGGTATTTTTTGGTCCTGTAATTTGTTCACCCAGAAATTTGTAGATCCAATAGATCATGATGAACTCGTCCCTTCTGTGCAAATGTTTTCAAAAACGAATTAAAAACGAAGAAGATACCATACAATACCACCCCGTACCAGGGTGGTATTGTATGGTATTGTGTGGTATTTTTTGGTCCTGTAATTTGTTCACCCAGAAATTTGTAGATCCAGTAGATCATGATGAACTCATCCCTGCTGTGCAAACGTTTTCAAAAACGAATTAAAAACGAAGAAGATACCATATGGTATGCAGTTGGTACCGAGAGGCCAGAATTTTTTTTCCTAAAAAAATATTGAAAATTGATCTAATTTTGTAGAGCACGGTGAACTCGTTCCATCTGTGCAAAAAAATAAAAATCCGAGTTAAAACGAAAAATATATGAGTCAATTAAGAAAGCTAGTGAAAATAAAAATAGCCTTTAATTCTCCATCCTTAGATCTGAATTTTCTAAATGAAGGGTCCAGATTTGGTTATTGATGGGTGCATAACCATGGTTATGGTTATGCAGTTTATCTTGGGCCTAATGGGCCAGCTAGAAACCGACTCAAGCCCAGCTTTCCTTGTTTCCCTCGGAATTATTGCGATCTGTGAAATAAAATTTCGCAACAGCTTCTAGTCCAAATCCAATCCTTCCCGTCTCCGTCGATTCCACCTGATTCGGTCATTCGGACGAGGAGCAAAATCACCGTCATAATTCGCCGGCAACTCTTCCCCGAAACCCTAGTAATTTAACAGGTTTGCTTCTAGTCCATTTCAAATTTACGCTTTGTGAATTGCTTTCTGTTTGCTTGGTTAGAAAAGGGATGTCTGATTTTCTTCTGGTCGGGACGTTTCCGCTGATGCCAGCGAACCACAACTCGAGCGTCGTTTATGAATATATTTCTTCATTGGCAGTGCGACGTGGGGAATCGGATATGCCGTGTCAATGATAGACGTTGGAACTTATGGTTTCTCTATGTATTGTGTTCTGTCCATTTTCTAGAACTTCCATTTGTAGAATTAGGGTTTCTTGTTCATTGGGATGGGATTTGTGCCTGTGGCAATGACTGAAATTTTTTGGTTGTGGGTTTTGGGGCGTTTGTTGTTTTGTTGATGATGCTTGGATTATGCCCCTTTATGCTGTGGAAGTTGATTTGTGAATTTTTTTTTTTTGTTTCTTGTTGGTGTCTATCGAGGATAGGTAGGGAGCAATGACGACTGCAGCTCGACCAACGTGGGCTCCTGCCAAAGGTGGTAATGAACAAGGCGGTACCCGAATTTTCGGTGCATCACAGAAGTACTCATCAAGGGACCTTGCTGCTCATACAAATCTCAAGCCGAGGTATGCCTTTGTTTATTCTCATCCTTCTTGTTCCCCATTTATCATTGCTATCTGAGTCGAGCATTCTGGAAAGATGGTTCAGTTGAGGAAACTTCATCTGCAATATTAGCTGCACTCCATTTGTGCTTCTTCTAGGTTATGTATGACTTAATTGGTTGTTAAGTGTTTTGGGGCGGTTCGAACCTATTTCAGGCTGGATTGTTTTCATCCCCATAGTGCTATGGTCTCTCTTGGGGTTACTTGAAGCAGTACCCTTATTATTATATTTCTGATATTGTTGTCAAACTACTTCTACAACCCAAATTGATCATCTTTGCAATGTTCCTCAATTCTGCACTTCAGTTTCTGATCAGTCCCGCATGTGAACGGTGAGGTGTCTGGACAATCTGGCATTTTAGTCCTTCGGGGGACCATCTTGTTCATTCTTGATTTCTCTTTGTACTTGACAGGAGGGAAGGTCAAGACACTCAGGGAGAGCTTCAAAAAAGGGACCTTCGTGCGGAGCTTGAACAACGTGAAAGGAAGCATTTCTCATCGAAGGACAGGTCATACAGTGGTAAGTTATTTCATACTGCCTGTGTGGTGTTGGTATGTTATACTGTTCATAATCCAGCGTCAGGCTTTCACACGTCTCACTGAAATTCTTTATTCATTGTAGATGACAGAGACCGTAGAAGGGGAAGTCAGCTTCTTTTGGAAGGTTTGTCCGAAAGCGGCTTTCTTTGTGCAACTATTAGCTTAATGCTACCCTCCAATTTCTGTTCTAACTCCTGGTATTCACAGGTTTGAAAAGAGATGCAGAAGACCGCATTGTTCCTCGCAGTCAAGATGCCGATGATTCAGATGGTGAAGCAAACAACAGCGACAAGAGGTTATTCCTGAGATGCACATATTTATTATTGATTCATTTAATTCATCTATTTTTCTTGTGTTTTGTGGTTTATTGCTTATTCACGAAGTTTATCCGAAATTTATTGTGTTATAACAAGGGTCTTCTTTCTACAGTGATGATAGTGACGATGATGATGACGAAGGTGATACCCAAGCTCTGATGGCTGAGCTTGAGAGGATAAAGAAAGAAAGAGCAGAAGAAAAGCTCCGACAGGTAAAACTGACTTCCGGATATGGATGCTACTGAAAGTTCCTTTCTTTACATTTTTTTTTAACTTTCGGAACAAGAAAATCTTGTTTCCGGGTCTACAGTTTTGTGAATGGATTATGTAACCTGAAATAGACAAGTTCATCTCGCAAAAAGTAAATTTTACATATTTTGTTTTCCAGGAGCAAGCACTTGCAGCTGAAGAGTTGAAAGCCAAAGAAGAGCAGCTTCTCCGTGGAAACCCATTGCTTAATAGTAATAACCCAACATCTTTCAGTGTGAAAAGAAGGTTAGTAATAAGTAGCCCATTGAACTTCAGCTTTGTTAATATCTCCTTTTCTGTCATTGTACCATTCTAATCGCTGCCCCATTATGCTCTGGTCAATTCAGGTGGGATGACGATGTGGTTTTCAAGAACCAGACCAGAGGTGAAACCAAGACGCCAAAACGTTTCATCAACGACACAATCAGGAATGACTTCCACCGCAAGTTCTTGCATAAGTACATGAAATAATTTCGGTGGTAGCAGCAGCAACAACAGTGATCAAAATCATTCGAGAGCTTAGCCTCCATCAAAAGATGGCTGTGTTTTATCATTTCCATGTACTTATGTGTCTGTGGCACGTTAAGCAATCAACTCTGTTCATTCCATCTCCACTTTTTGCGTCTGTGCTTTTCCTTTCGGATGATTCGTTATCAACTTTGTAGCTGACAAATGATTGTATTTATGTGAATTATGCTGTCAAATTTGTTTCTTTCTCAAAATCAATGGCTGCTTTAGTCAGAAATTTCTAAATTTTGAGCTACGGACTTGCAAAAATGCAATTTCTTCCCAAAAGGACAACAGGAGTACAGAGTTGCAACTTGCAAACTTACCAGAAACATATACAATCAGGCCAATAGCCAACCCAATACCAAACCAAGCAGCCCCGACATACATTAGCAACAGTTGCTGCTTGCTACCATGATTTTGTACACCGAGCCAGAGTAAAGGAAACCAAAAGACCACCAATAAAAAGCTGAACAATAGGTGCCCCAAGAAAACAACATTCTACGAGGATCCTAGCAGTATACACTTCAACTTCACAACAGGAAAAAGACCGTGAGGTGCGAGCAAACCTTGTTTTTCCTATTTTTGACTTGCTTAATCGCCTCAGTTCTTCTTTGGCTCTTCTAACACAAATTCCACATACAAATCCTTGAGGCCGATAACAACTGTCGTAATCAATGGACCCATGATTGCCCCCTGCACACAGTAAACCAAAATAACCATCAGCAACCATGCAACGGCTGAATCCTGAATGTATTATCATGATGGATTTGCGACTAACTAAAGAAAGAGAGATTGCCATTTTCAGAAGGGCTTCGTCAACAATATAACTACCTATATAATAAGTCGCGTGTTGGAAGATCTCTCTGCAGGTAATTGAACAAGTTCAAAAAATGGGAAAATGAAATTACTAGAGAGTGATAAATCTTACCTCCACTGCGGAGGGAAACAATGTCATTCCACCAATGATGCTGAGCCCAGTGAGATACTCGTTGTGTCCAGGTATATCCTCCTGAATTTCTGAAGCACCATAATCCATAAGCAGAAGATGAATCACCGACAGGCTGATCGCCAGAACATACCTGCCCTCTAGCACCAGCTGCACAGCAGCTGGAATCGTGGAAAACCATGGTGGAAATATCGGCAGCAGAGGACTGATGATTGCAAGAACAGTAGACACATAAAGGAAGTGGATTTTGTAAAGCCTCAACAATAGCCATGTTAAACATCCTTGAAAGAATGCAATCTCAGCTGTAGCCAGGAGAACACCGGAAATGGCCTTGTCAAGAACCTCGACACACCTGGTCCTCACTGATTTCCTCATTGGCAGCATGCACATCACCTGCTCGGTTACCCCACCAGACTCCGATGTGATCAGGTAATACAAAACCCAGAAGAAAACCATCGACATGGAGACAAAATTGAAAACCTCAGCTGCTCCAGAGATGATAGAGTTCCCAACCGACAGCATCAGCTTAGCACCTCCCCCTAGCACTGAAGCACTGCTGGCAAAAACACGTTGAGAGACATCCATCCCTCGAAGAGCAAACCCTTTCGCCTTCTCGAGTATATCCTCACGGCTAATAATTAGTTCCTTGAAGATTGCATCCAGTTCAGTGTAAATTTCTCCCCATTGGCGGTCACTAACTTTCTTTCTTAAGCTCATGAGCTTCTCAGTGTAAGGAGGTGGGCTCATCATAAGAGCTGATTGCTCTAAAGAAGAATTGGTTGGAGGAGTGATGATGAAATGCTTGATCCCCGTGACCAATTCAGTGACGTTATACTGCATTGCAAGACTATCAATCTGGTCAGAAACTGTCTCGTAGAACGTGGTTGTATACCTATCAACCATTCCAGGGACATCATTCTCATCCATCCACTTCCTCACACCAAACTTCTCAGCATAATTGCTCTCTTCCACATGAGATTTTAAAGAAATTACAGCATCTTTCCCTTCAACACCAATCTTGTATGAGAAGAATATCAACCCAACTAAGAATCCGACAATCATGCCAATAATAAGGCCAACTGCAACTGTTGTCTTGAGTTTCTTCAATATCCCTCTAGTGAAGAATGCAGTAATCGGACTGCGCTTAAAGCTGTTGCTCCTAAAAGAAGAAACAGCAGAGAATGTGGAATCTACAGTCTTTGTACTGCACAAGATACCCAAACCTAGAATGGAGAGCGCCCCCATAGCACCAATGTTCTCATAGGCAATTACAAAGACACCAAATGAGACCAACCACCTCACTAGCTTGGAAAATCCACTTCGATTCCTCTTGATTCGTTCCTTTTTGGGATTTTTCTGTAAAACCCTAAGGCAAAGCTCTTTAATTTCGACAAGGGTCCCTACGAAAACCTGGAAAATTGCTATGGGGACGGCGAGGACAGTCTCAGTGAGCCCTAATTGGAGAGGCTCCTCCCAAAATGAAACGAGGGCCTGCTGAATGCCCCTCAAGGGTATGGAGCACAAAATTGCCCACTGAATTGGGCGCAAATACTCCTGAAGGAGCTTACAGACGAAATAGAGAACGAAGATTGTGAAGGCGAGACCGGCGTGTGCCATGGCTATGCAGAGAGCGAGTCGTACCTGGGGATCCCCCAAAAAGGTGGCGTCTTTATTAGTTTGGTCGCTCGAATTAGAGGACCCAGATGGATTCGGAGGCTTGCCGGAGGGCGCCGTGGTGGGTTTGCGAAATGAGGCCGATTTGAACATATCCTGCCATGGCAGAGTTGAAGAGGAAGAAGAAGAAGCAGACTCCGGCGCCTTGGAATCTGGGTCGGCGTATGGAACCAACTCCATTGCCGGAAAAACCGAAATGGTTATCTGCAGACACGATAGGAGGGGAGGAATCAATAGAAAGGCGAGAGTCTGCAGATAACCAAAGGAGGCGGGCGAATTTGGATATCCTCTGCGTGAGAGCAGAGGAGGAGAAGAACAGAAAAGCAGGGGAATTATTTTTTTCTGAACGAGGGAAAGACCGAAGAGACGGACAATAATGATGAATGTGGGGGACCAGGCAGCCAATCAGAGGACGACAGATGTGATTTTGTACAGAGGGCAGTTTGGATTCTTATGAAAAAGAAATTTTTGTCGGCTGTTTAGCGGGAAATATCTCAGACGTGGAGGGAGTGGAGAAACAGAGGAATGCGGGAAGAGAACAGAGTAGGGGAAGAGAGAGAGACAGAAAGGAGTTATCAGTATTCAGTTCTTCTTCAACCCCCCAACCATATGAAATGGAAAGAAGGAATTTGCCATTTGCCAGAGGATAGTGTAAGAAAGAGTTCAGACAGGGTGCGGGCAGGAGATTGATAGCCGTCCTGCTTTCCTTTCAAACGTGGGAAATGACCAAACCGACATCCCCTGCTGTCTTCGTGGAAAATGTGGTGAATTTAATAATTGATCGTGCTTTGTTTGTTGTCGCTGAGCTGGTGCATGTGTTTTGTTCTCTCAATTTCAGGCATTGACGACGGGGATGGTGGAACCCAGGAAGACGCAAAGGTGGAGAAAATTGAACTGACAGACAATTGACTCGGAACTTGCTCTAACCATATCTCCGCAACAAATGATATGTAAATCTAACTGATTCTTCAAGTGCACAAGTTGGAAGGTGTTTGTCATTGCACTTAGAGCTGGACAGGACTCTGTCCATCATGGACCAATCTGTGATGATCATTGTGGTGTATGACGTGCATTGTATTGTATGACCGATCACGTTTTCCCACAATCAATGCACATGAGGTTTGACAACTCTCGTTAAACTTGACTTGGGAAGTTGGGATAGACTGGGTTTGATGGTTTTTTTTTTTTTTACAAAAGATAATCATATATATTGATTGAAAAAAATAGATCGTTATATCCTGGAATGAAGACATGTCACAAAATCAAACGAGCGACACGTAGTTGGGTACAAAGAAAGGGTCTTGCAAGCCACCAAATGGATTACCTTATTATACGCTAACCTACGAATCACACACTAAACTCTACATGCTCAGGCAGATAATTCAAAACTTCACAGGAAATGGCCCCATCGCGACTATCACTATCCTGAGCTTGGTTGAGCCTATCATAACGACCTAAGCATCACCTTTGAAACTTACCACCGTAAAACCCTTTTGCAGGCACCATAGGATCGCTCCCGGAGGACCAAGAGCTCTACTAGCATGGGATTATCCATACCGGGGAAATGAATGACAATAGCCGAAATGATCACCCCCTCTTGGTCCAGGAGAACGATCCCCCAGCCGCATGGGACCCCTGCCTCGTCGCCCCATCCCACATGCAGACCACAGAACTAGGGGAGGCAGACTGCACACAACCATTCCCAGCCAGCGGAGTGCGCACAAATCTCTCCTTAGGTAAAGTAGTCCATTCATGCAACTGTTGATGGTATTGCCTCATCATGGTTAGTTATGATTTCATAAAGTCATCCTGTTAACTCTTATTAATTGTAATTTTTTAAGAAGAAAAAAGAAAGTGAAAAGGTGTTCCAACTTAAATTGTTCAGCAAACGTGGTTTAGGGATCGTAAAAACATCATAACGAAGCCAGAATATAAGACTCAAACCATTGTGTTCAAAGGAACGAAAGTCAACTAGTATGTCTTGTTTAAAAAGAAAATTTGCCTCATGGTTTCCTTTTCCATAACCCTGAGAAACGAGGAATTTCCATGGTCGACCGAATTGGATGTTGAGCTATGAGTTCTACGCCCCTCTGTCCCCATGCTTGTCATTGGCTAGCTGCTCCAAAGTTTAAGTTAAAATTCAATTATCTGGAGGCCTTATATCCCATCTTATATTTGTCACCAAAGTTGATGCGGAAACTTCAATTATATATGAAACATTTTGGTGAATCCACACCAACATATTACATATAGTTAATGTGGCGTGAAAAATGAACTCATTCGACACTTTACAAAGAATCAAACATGTGATATCATATTTATAACAAAAATATATGTACCTCGATGTGAAGCAGATTGATGAATCCATTCTAACAACCTAGTGTCGAAGAATGAATGGCAGAGCCATCGAGTGTATGATACCTCTTGGAATTTTTGTAGAAAAGTACAGTCACCAATGACATACATTGGCATCGCTATTGTAGCGTGATTGGTATGGTACACATCTAAAGAAAAATGATGACAACGCTTAGAGTTTATGCGGAGTATGATATGACCAAGTAATCATGGGTATCTTTTTTTGTCATTGTAGTTTTGATATTTCCTTCCAAGACCGTAGCGTTTCTAAAAGGTTGCTTCTTTGTCCATCTCACCTTAAACCTCTCACAAACATTGCATAAGGTATCGATAGTACGAGTAGTATTATGGTATACTACAAGCACTGTTATGTAATTTAACAGTGTTATATTTAGGTAATTTCCATTATTAGTAGTCAGCAAAATGTTCTATGGATTCATTAAAATACAGAGATTTTTCCAGAAATAGCACTGTTTAAAAAAAAATTAAAAAATAGCACCCAACTCCGAAAAATTCCAAAAATAGCACCCTTTTTGCAAAACCGCCACACTCGTACCAGCGGTTTAGGAGAAAACCGCCACCCGGGGGCGCGTTTTTCGATGAAAAACGCACTGGTAGGGGGCGGTTTTGCAGACCGCACCCCCACCATGCGGTTTGGTTGGAGACCGCACCCCCACGATGCGGTTTGTTTGCAGACCGCACCCTCACGATGCGTTCTGTTTTTTTTTTTTTTTGGAAAAGTCCTAACCTAGGTGGAAACTTCTAATGAACGTATCTTTATGTTCGGGTATCCGATCGTCGCGATTTTTTTTTTATTCCGCATAACTTTTTGAGATCTTGCAAGCCGAAGACTGCCAAAGGTGGTTTGATCCGCCTTCGCCCCAAAAAATGTCTTTTTCTACCCCGAACGAGCTTTTTTCCGATTTCGTCAAACTTTGGAAAACCGTAACTTTGTGCTCCAAAATCCAAACGACATGAATTTTTTTTTTATTTCGCATAACTTTTTAAGGACTACAATTTTTACTAGAAATGAATTTTCAAAACATGAATTATTTTTGGATATACAGGATTTTGGGAATAGCTTATCTTCCCTTCTCAGCAATCCACGTACATTTTGAAATTATGTCTATGATAAAAGTTGTATTCCTTAAAAATTTATGCGAAATAAAAAAAAATTCATGCCGTTTGGATTTTGGAGCACAAAGTTATGGTTATCCAAAGTTTGACGAAATCAGGAAAAAGTTCGTTCGGGGTAGCAAACGATATTTTTTGGGACGAAAGCGGGACCAAACCACCTTTGGCAGTCTTCGGCTTGGAAGATCTCAAAAAGTTATGCAGAATAAAAAAAAAAAATCGCGACGATCGGATACTCGAACGTTCGTTTGAAGTTTCCACCTAGGTTAGGATTTTTTATAAAAAAAAAAGGAACGCATAGTGAGGGTGCGGTCTGTAAACAAACCGCATCGTGGGGGTGCGGTCTGCAAAACCGCCCCCTACCAGTGCGGTTTTCATCGAAAAACGCGCCTCCGGGTAGCGGTTTTGCAAAAAGGGTGTTATTTTTGGAATTTTCCGGAGTTTGGTGCTATTTTTGGAATTTTTTTTTTTAACAGTGATGGAAAAATCTCTCAAATACATGACTCCAATTCATTTTTCGAAGTTGGATAATCAAATATAACGAAATTGTTGAGAATTGACAAGGTGATACTCATTTTCGTATTGCAAGTGAATGAATACGAGAAAAAAAGGTCTCGAACGTATTATCTGTGAAAAGCAGATGATGATACATAATCAATCAATACCCTCATCATGTTCTTAATTATTTCCTAAACCAACACATTAGCAGTGGTTTAATCAAAAGTGGGAAGCCCCGATCCGTCTGCGGAGACAGAAGTAGGCAAGCAAGCGGAACCCAAGCGCCATGGCCAACAGCACCCAGACCTCTTGCAGCCCCCCTTTGAGGTTGACCGTGTCGAAAGATGGAGAGCTCTGCAGCGGCCTGCACCCTCCCGCGCTCTGGCACTCGTACATTTGGTCCCCGTCGTATTGCACCTTCAACAGCAGCCTGAATCCGTAGTACAGGAACGACATGTACTTGAGCCACTGCATGAATCTCGGTATGTGCTGCAAATCCCACATTTTTTCAGTTTTGTTCCAAGTCAGAACAACTGTCAAGAGCATATTGATTCTATTCATGGAGATGGGGGCTTGAATCTCTGCAATTGGGTGTTTCAAGGATTCCAGTTATCGGGATGTATACCTGGACATAGTAGCCACCAGTGAGGAGAAATAACATGAGTAGAAGAGAAGCGAACATTCCTGCTCTCCTTATGCTCAAACTTGCAGCTCCAAACAACTCCCCTGCACCCTTTTGTCCAAGAAATTTAAACGAGTAAGATTAGTATTTGTAGGGATTGATGGAGTTTGGGTTAGCTGAAGAATGAATGGAAGGATTAAGTTACTTGGCTGGTGATGGCAATGAGAAGGATGGCCATCAAAGTCAAGAAGAAGCAAGGGACAGTCCTCTTGAAACCAGCCATGAAGTAGACAATGATGGTGAAGAAAGTTGGGTAGAAAACATGAGCCACCATGTCACACAAAGTACTGCATACATAGTAAACACTCAGTGGGTACATGTCTGCTCTCCTTTCCTTCACTATGTATATCTTCTCAAATGGGAACACGTATACTGCCCCGAATATTGACGATGATGTCCAAAATATGCAGATGTAGAACATCAGACCAATCTGCAAAATGACATAAAAGAGAATCTGGAGACTGTGTACTATTAATAAAATGGGGTAATTTTTTTTGGAACCATTTGATAACCTGGTCTCTAAGTTGAGCCTCAGTTGCAGTTTGGGATTTCCACCAGAGAAGACCAAGAAGGACAGCAATTCCTAAGGCCTGGACTAGCCTCAGCTTGTCAAAGTAATCCCTACACCTTTCCTTGAATGTTCTCTTGTATATTATCCTGAACTGTTCCAGCCAGCTTGATGTCCACTCCTTCTTCACTTGGATAGCCGCTTGCAAATGCTCGGGAGCCTTCTTGTTTCGATGGTTGTCTTCCTTCTCTTTTGGCTCTAGTTGAGTCTTGTACATCCCTTGCAGGTACTGTACAATATATCATGTATATGGAAACCAATGGATAGGGTAAGTAAATTGGAAACAAATAATCGGGAAGGGTTCGAATAACTCTTCTTACCTTGACTACTTCTTTCTCGGAATTCTGAGCTCCTGGAGGTGCAGCAGCAGTTGATATATCTTGAGGGATACTGATATCATTGACTTGACCAGTGGCCAAATCAAGCATGAACTCAGCTGGGTTCATGGCTATCTCTGGCATGAACCTCAACGAAGCAAAATAGTCCATGGAGTCCCTAGCTTTACCATAGTAAACCGGGTAGCCATCCGATATCAGCAGGATCTTGTCAAATGTGTGGAAGATTCTGCTAGAAGGTTGATGAATTGTTGTGATGATGGTCCTTCCTGCCTATATATATGGGCAACATCTCAAATTGTCCTGAATCTCACTCTCGTTACTTTTGTACTGTTTGATACAAGTAAGTTTTTCTTTTTGGTTACCTTAGCTATTCCTTGGAGAATATGGAGTAGGCGATTCGCAGACGTGGAGTCGAGGCCTGAAGTTGGTTCATCAAGAAGCAGTAGTGAAGGATCAACAAGAATCTCATGGCCAATGCTGGTTCTTTTCCTTTCTCCTCCTGATATTCCTTTGATGAATCCTCCCCCAATTCTTGTGTGCCTGCATCTGTATGATCATATGGTTATAACATCATGTTACAAAATGTGCTAAGAAACTTAAAACAGCAATCATAACTTAAAGTTTCTTTTTCTAGTTACCTTTCCAGACCTAGATCTTTAATGATGGTCTCAACTCTTGCATACTTCTGCTGCCTGCTCATGTTCCCTGGGAGCCTCAGGAATGCAGCAAACACCAATGTTTCTTCCACTGTTAGTTGGGGAAGCAGCACATCATCTTGTGTCACAAATCCAACCCTGTTCTTTTTCCAGTTTCATGTCAAAAAAATCCAGTGATGAGTTGGCTAGAAAGGGTCAGAAAAAGGAAATAAGTGATACAAGTGGTAGGATGTTTTGGAGACAGCGCGGACTAATAATGAATGAGTTAACCTCCTCCTAAGGGCTGCATTGTAAGGAATGTCATTGTAAGTGATTTTGCCTTTGACATTGTCTTTAAGTCTCCCTCCAATTATGTTCAACAACGTTGTCTTGCCACTCCCTGAAGGACCCATGAGAGCCAGGATCTCACCAGGCCCTATGCTTCCTGTGATCCCTTTTAGTATCTGCTTGTAGTTGTCCTGCTCCAAACTCAGCTGTGAAGCCACCTTTGACACCACTGCCTTCACCGGATTCATCGATGAACCTCCTGCCTGGCCGTTGTTCCTCACCTTGTACTCCACATCCTCAAACTAACCAAACAAACATCATTCATTGCACAACAAGAAAATACGTTGTCTTCTTATTGTATGTGTATCATGTTGTCTGTTAGTTACCTTTAGGAAGATTGGAAGAGGTTGATCTTTGCTAAGGTTGAGTGTGGTATTATCTTCAATGTCTATCTCAGAGTACCTGTTCCTAAGATAAGTTTGAGACATGAACTCAATGCTGTGAGCAAAGCCATTGCTGCCTGCAATTTGCATAGACCCCATTGCTGGAGGAGGGGAAAGAGCTGATGTCCTTTCCTCAACTTGGTCATCCTTGCTTTCTTCCATAATATGCTGATGGAAAGGGAAAAAGAAGAAGAAAAAAATTGTAAACTAAGTTCTGCAATGTAAGTTATGAATCAACTGCAATGGACCAAGATGGTTTAATTTTTTTTAGTTTCTATATATTAATCATTTGCTAGATTATTATCTGGTTTTAGCTCCTTTTTTGGTTTTGGCAGGAAATTGTTTGGTGGGCAACATGCTTTCCATGACTATGGAAATCTGGAGGGTGGAGGTTCCTGGTTCTCATATACACACACTTCTTGCAGAGTGCCTCCTTAGAAGATGGTTTGGTTAGAGAAATTTTCGCTTTTGTGGGATGGGATCTACTGCAATTACCTTATCTCAGGGGCGGACCCAGGGGCATTTAGGGGTGTCCGGGCACACCCCCTAAATTTTGGGAAAGTGATTATCCAACCCCTGGTGGTAATTTACGTCTGGACAAAAAAATTATAATATAGTTCGGGACACTCCAGAATTTAAAAAAACGATTATCCTACTCTCGTTTGTAGTTTGCATAAGGGAATATAAGTGGTATTTTAGGTAATTCAAACCCGAGACACTACTATTATTAATAAATATCATTTCCATTGAGCTAAACTTTTTTGTTGTTTTATTCTAAACACTTTGTAATAGCAAAATCCTATTCTCTAACTTAATTATTTTCAAAACATAACAATTAATCTAATTACAAGCTACCCTTAATTTCTATTGACTTTATGTTTGTATGACAAGTAAGTGTCTTTTCAGCTTTGAGTTACATCAAGAACAAATTTATAAGTCGAATATGCGCCAGTTCCAATAGGATATATCTAGACAAATTTGTTGAGTAGTGTAGACACCAATGTATTTTACAATTTTTTCAGGATATGAAGATACGTACTTTTTTAACTTCTAAGAGTTGGGTATTTTCGTTTTTAATAATTATTTAATAATTAATAATTATTTTTTTTTATTTTTTATTTTTTTTTTAAAGAAAACACCCCTATGTAAAATTCCTGGATCCGCCATTGCCTTATCTACTACATCTTAAGCAAATCTATACGAGAAATTCATGAGTCATAAGAAACAATCCAATTGAAGCTGACTAGACGCATGTGAAATGAAAGAGTTTTTCTAATAACTTTGAAGTTAAATGTGCTTAGATTGGCGTAGTGCATAGATGAATGAACTTTTAAGAAGTCACTATCATACACTCAGAAACATAACTTTTATGTGGTTCGACTAGGGTTCCAATGTCGATGTCGATTTCGGTTTAAAGTTTAAACTGAAACTGAACTTATAAGAAACTTAACGGTTTAGAGTTTGATGTCTCAAACCTTTTCCTTCTGAACGGTTAAAATTGGTTTTAACCAAAAAATCGATAATAAACCGAAACACATTCTTTGATGAGGTCAATGATGCATGGCTTGTAAGGTATAACTATTTGGTGCACTCTTCCTCTTTTCAGGTTTTTCAGTTCTCCATACTAAAACCAAACCATTAAAGGGCTTATCGGTTTTCAGAAACTGAAAATCAAAATGTCCTCCGAACGGTTTGGTTTTGAGTTTGGAAGAGCTAACAGTTTCTATTTTTTCGTTTTAACGATTTGGTTAACCAAATTGATAGGCATAGGCTTGACTCAAAACAAATAATATGTTGGTTAAGAAAAACTGGGAAGTTACAATAATTTTCACCATTTTTATGAGCTTGTATATTGTTTTTAATTACATAACGATTTTATTTATTGATTCATCTTGTTCCAAGTCGTTGATTCGGCTGATATTGAAAGACATCTTAGAAAGGTGATCGATTTGAAAGAAAATGATTCAATGTATAACCAATTTACCTCAAAGAGTTTGATCTGAGAGAATATGACTTCACCTCTATGTAGGGGTGTGCTACAGTCTGGTTTGGTTCGGATTGGGAATTATGGTCCAATAGTGAAAGGCATCCTCGAATTAAGGACTATATCAATATTGCATTCGATTCGGCTTGGTCTTATAAAAAAATGTCAATATGGGCCATTTTCAAGTTTTATAAACATCCCAGGTTCAAGGACCATGCCAACATTACATTCAATTTAGGTTGGTCCGATACATATGTCAATTCTAGTCATTTTCAAATATTTATAAAATTTATGGAATCAAAGACCAGACCACATTATATTCGATTGGTAATATTCTTTACCAAACATCCACATGATCCGATACAATCCAGTGCGAAACCATGGCACACTGTACCACTATCCCAACTATTACTATATCTATTAGCTTTTGCTTGATGGATTTGGTGGTGGATTTGGAAATTTATTTGAATCCACATGAATTTTTTTCAAATCCATTGTTTGCTTCATGTATTTAAGGGCAACAAATTTGTCGAACCCATGGACTTGAAAAACACATCACTTTGGATGGGAATTGGTCGTGGACTTGAAATCTATCATTTATAACCAACCTATCCCTTATATTCCTTTTCTTTTCTCTTAACAATGAGAGCAATAAGGTAAACTACACTCACTGGCGGGACTATATTCCTTTTGTTGGCATATCGATACTGGTCATCCAACATACTCTGTCGAAGGTGTCAAGAAACCAGTTGGTCCAATAACTCGAGTTGTTGGGAGAAGGTTATGCTGGATCTTATACCATTCTCTAACACGCCCCCTCAAACGAAAGCCAACTCATGGGCTTGAAGTTTGCACAGGCCCACCATACCATGTGCTTGAAAGACAACTGTTAATATTGGGGGTCGTGGAGATTCGAACACTTGACCTTTCGGTTCTAGGCTATGATACCATGTCAAGAAACCATGTGGTCCAATAACTCGAGTTGTTGGGAGAAGGTTATGCTGAATCTTATACCATTCTCTAACAGAAGGAAACTACACTCACTGGCTGGACTATCTTGGAGATGTTGAGTTTTTATTTTTTTTCCCCGTTAGTGTCGTGTCTTTGCTCCTTGGAGCTTCTTCAGACCTACCCAAGTAGTGGCTTTTCAGGCTCTTTCATCGTAGTCTGGTTGCATACAGACTAACGTGTTGGTTTTAAGTCGGTCCTGTATTCGTGTCGAGTCTTTGTCCCATGCCCTTTGGGCTTGCCTTGGATAAAAAAAAACAATGAGAGCAATAAGGTAAATTTCACTTAATATATACTAATTTAATTAACCAAATCCATCATGAAATCTATGAAATAAATAATGGGGTTTTCAAGTGCATACTAAATCAAACCAAGGAAGAAACATTGATCGGTCTAGTTTGATTTTGTGGGTTAAGACTTAAGTGTGATGATGTGGATTTACTTATTGAGGTTAAATATTGTTATATGACCTTAATTTTATATAAATAGACAATTTAAATCCCAATTTTCTTTTTCTTTTTTTGGTTGAATAATCCCAATTTTCTATAAACACAAGAATTATCCAATATTTTTTTTTCAATTTATATTCTTAAATATTTTGGTTCTGGAAATTATTTTTGATAAAATTATCTTTTAATTAATTGATGAAAATAAATAAATGAATGGCCGTGGGGTCTTAAATTCGGAAATTATATAATTTGGGACTGATACTGTGATACAAAATCCAGCCGAAGATCTCTCCAGTGTCCTACAGACTACAGTACAGATTAGAGAGTCAATTCCAGTCCAAGACCCAAACGATCTTCTCTTCCTACTCCGGTAGACGCCCATGGAGGATTCGGGGGACGAGGTTTTGCTGAATTCTCTCCGTAGCGCCGGCGTTTCAGTCCCAGCCAACATTTCCAACGTCCGGGACCTGCCGCCTTCCGTCTTCGTTTCTCTCTGCGCTCGGTGCCTTAACCTAATCGATGAAACGGCGGAGCTGCCCACTTCTCTGCCCGACTCCACGGTCGATAAGTTCAAGATCTGCACGGACGTCGCGCTCGCTGTTAAGCGGCTCGGTTATATTGGGGATATGAGCTACTACAAGGTAAGCTGCCAGTCCGTACATTCCACTATTTCAATATGTTTGTTTGATTGCTGAGAAATTGAGGGAAGAAGAGGGATGATATGAAATGTTCTTTGGCTCGCTGTTTGAATGAGATGCTTGCGTTTCGCTGGATATTGAAGTCATTAGCTGCGAATCTAAAGCTCCGTTTGGTTTCGTGTCTTGAACTTGATTGCATTAGATTAGATCAAAGCTGGAATGAGACCAGCTCTGTAGGTGCGGTATATAGTGTAGATGCCTCAATGCCCAGAGGCCAGAAGCACTGTCTTGTTGAGGCCAAGGTGGGTCATTTGCACCACCTTGGCCCAATTGATATGAAGGAAATTAAGTTAGGTGATTGTTAATTGAATACAAGATCTTCATATTATTATAGATAATTTTATAAAAAGTAATATTTTGTGATTTCTATTTAACTTTTAATTCATAAATTCTCGTAAGTGAGTTTAACATAAACAAAAACTCAAAAGTTAGAGGTGTTTGTTCCTATCGATTGTCATTGCAAGTATTGAAAGAGCACTTAGTACAATAAGCAAAGTAAAAAAACACTTCAGAATAAGATGAGTTGTAGAAGCATGAACGATTTTTCACTATGGTATCTTAAAAATCCCTCATACTTTGCATGAGAGAATTTATTTTTGAAAATTTTGAAAACATGAACTTATCATCAAACATAAGTTATATTTTTTTTTCCCCACGTTTGACCCACCTTGGAAGATTTTCTGGCTACGCCACTGGAAGCAATGGAGTGAAAATTGTGATTTTATGTAGAAATGCTTTGGTGACCTAGAAGTGTTAAAATGCAAGCTTTAAAATGTAGATTTTTATTACAATTGTAAGTGAAAATCGCAATTGTGTATAGAAGCGTTTTGGTGAATTAGAAGTGTAAAAGCGTAAGCTTTTAAGTTTTAAAAAGCGATTTTGGCTACATTGCCTAGAAGCACTGTCTTGTTGAGCTTCGAGTTCTGCAATGCTGGCCCTTTCTATGTGCCTGCAAGTCTGCCATAAGGTGATGACCTGATACATGATGATGGTGTTTGATGAAAAGATTGAATTTTTTCCGGTTAATTGGAATATGGTTCTTAGTACATCCATGATTTCTATAAGTAGAGAGAGTTGTGCAGTCTTCTCTGGGATCTAAGTTCTGTTAAGTCATTACTGGGTGATGAGAAGAAGTGACAATATCCGGACGTCACGCAATTCTGATCTATTTTGATCAATTCTATAGTTGTTTGTCTATATGCTAGTTTAAGTTACACGGGGCATAGAAAGTTAAGTCAGTCTTCCACAAGACAGTTGCACACAGTATTAGCAAACTAAAGCAGATTGATCGAAGTAGCAAATATGTGCATGGAAATATTGCCTGCTCAGGGTGGCAATCAGTGTATCTGATAAATGTTCACTTTGCTGCTTCAGTTGAGTTGTATCTAGTTTGATTTAAAAGAAAATCTAAGTGCCAACGTTGAGACGTTTAGCTCATACTATTATCCGAATGATCTTGGTGAGTGCATGAAACTCGACAGTCACTTCTTACTTGGGGGTTGGCTTTTGTGGTTTTACTCAACTGATTATGCCAAGATTATCTCCTTTCTCCGTATATTGAGATTCTGAAATGAAATGATCCATATCACTGCTTCGTTTCTTATGATAATGGCCACTTCTGTTCTTATTTTTTTATAATCATGCTGTTAAACAGATTGTATCTGTTGGTTACGGCAGCTCCTTTATCCCTCTGAAGAGGACCTGTATAAGTTATTAAGATTCTTGTTGGAGAGGCTCGCTAGGTCATCTGATGTGGTCAGAGAGGATGTAAATCCTGGAAGGAAACTGAAAGGGCGTCATCCCTTGGGGAATGAAACAGAGAATGCTGATTATGAAACGTCAAGTCCAACTTACCATGATGGAGACTTGAAGGGTTCAGATATTCATAGCAGAACAAAAGGGTCCACAAGTTCCCATGCAAATGATGTGTCCTACGGCAACCAGATGGACCTAGCAAGTGAGGCCGTTGAAAGCCTCTCCATGGAAGAATCCGAAGAAGTGCCTCTTGGAGACGAAGACAACAATGCTGAGGTGGATAAGATATCCAAGGTATTTTTCATTTCCGCATCTGTTGATGGAATTTAAAATGTCATATCGTATATTTCGAAAGGTCTCAAACTAGAAACCAAAGAATGTTCTCGTTTCACTTGTACTAAATGTATTTTGCAAGTGACTTAACCTAATTTTTCTTCTGCTAGATGAGAAATGATCTTGAGAAGTTGCAAAAGCATGAAAAGGACCTGACAGAGGAGGTAATGGCAAATACTGCAGCAACAAGGTGTATTGAACAAGAGTTTGAATTATTGAAGGCAGCAGCAGAAATGGGGCTCGACGACCTTCACCCTGTTGAATTCTACATTGATCAGCTGAATGAGCAAATAGAAGCATCAAAGAAAAATGTTTTGGAGCTGGATTCACAGTGGTATTTTATTTGTTCAAATTGCTTCATCTCTTGTTTGCACCTATCTATTCCTTTGCAAGGAAATGACTTCTACTGTTTGTGAAATAGAGCATAATTTTTATTTTGCTTTTGCCTGCTATCTACCATGTTCTGCAGGAACAATTATAGACAGCCATTAGAAGAGAAAAAGAAAAGCATAGAGGATTCTCTCTATTCAGAAATACCGGAGGCTCAAGGAAAGCTTCATAAGCTCAGGGAACTTGATTTGGAAAGAGAGTCTGTTCTTTCCGAAATTAGGAGGAGGTGAGGTCATCACGAAAAAATAACAGAGCCAGAATGATTACCTATAGTTACTGAAACGATTTTTACCATTCTCATCCCTCTCAATCATCTACTATTCTGTAGGGAGAAGGAACACTCCAAACTTTGTAGAGATCTCGAGAAGCAAGGCAGGCAACCATCTAGACAGTCCTACATTGAGAGGGTCAAAGAGATTACCAAAAACAGCCGGAAACAAGATGGTGACATAGAGCGGATATTGAAAGAAACCAGGGAGTTGCAGCTAGAGAGCAACTCCATTCAAGAACGCCTTCATCGTACCTATGCAGTTTTAGATGAAGTGGTTTTCAGGTATATTATGCCCCTTTTTTGTTGTCTCCTTTTGTTTTGCGTCCTTCATCCTTAACCTAGATGTCTAAACTGAAATGGGCTATGTTTTCTCCCTCCACAGGGAAGCAAAGAAAGACCCAGTTGGGAGACAAGCTTATCGATTGCTGACGAGCATCCATGAGTGCTTCGAACAGATCTCGGAGAAAATCCTAACCAGTGACAGGGTAGGCAGAGAAGTGGCTGAGCATGAGAAGAAACTGGAAGCCTTGACTTCTTCCCGAGGGTTAAACATAGAGAAACTGCAAGCTGATCTCGATGCCATTAGGCAGGAAAACCAGCTTCTCGCTCAACAACACCTTCAAGACAATTGAGCAAGGGAAAGAAGACCCACATAGTGCATTGCTAAATACCAGGAGCATGAATTGCTGTATCATTTCACCATTGCCAATTTGTTCCTATTTTTTGTTAATTTCTTTGTGAAAGTGAGTAATTTGGGTTTTTTTAACAAATATTTCGACAAATCATCGATCAGAATTCACAACCATGCATTCTTAACAAATCCATTAATTTATTTCAGCAATCAATAATCCAAACTTTACTCAGAATTCCATTTACTTCATGCTTCCAACAATCAGCAACTACTACAAAGGTACGGTGGATGATCTCTACCTGGTTTTTGCAACCGGGAAGTAAGGTAATGCTATCCATGTCGAAGCTGGTGTTTTGAAAGGAAAAGCTGGGCCATGTGGCCATGGGTCCCTTTTAGTCTGGTGGTTAAGGCAAAAGGATAACAACGTGAGGAAGTGGGGGCAGAACTCAGAAGAAGAAGGGTGAGGCAGAGACAAAGGAGCAGTCGTTGTTCACCATTAAAACCCATTTCAGTTGGCAGTCAGGTGGTGGCACCAAATGCAACGGATGAGATGACACAAGTGCTAAGGCTAGAATGGAGTGGATGCAATTGTTGTCTTGTGTTTATTTGGGGCGGTTGCCAGAACTAGCAAACTTCTGAACCGTGCTCTCAATCTCAAAGGCAAGTGGCGAGTCATTTCTTGGACAAAGGCATCACCCTACCTACTGGTAGTTCATTTCATCGAATATCACTACTACCCTCATTCCAAATCCAGGCCGTTGATTTGGGTGGGTTTAAGCTGCAGGATACTCTTCTCCAAGTATTCGATCGAGAACTAAAGACGAACGTACTATATGTTAATACGAAACGCAACACAATCACTCATTTGTTCTCGTATCTTACATCCACATTAAGCGGTCCAACCACAAATCGAAACGGCCAATAGTGCACTAATTCAGTGCTTCCGCCTAAATAGGTTAAGTCAGGTTCCCCAATCATCGTTTTCCTTTTCTTTTTCTACCAGTTCTGACTTTCCATGGCAATGATGTATGTCTGTATGTATGCATGTTCACGGTTCACCAATGTAGTAAAAGACAATTTGGCAATGGCTCCACATTTTTTTTGGCTTTTCCTTCTTTGCGCCATAGGACACTCAAGCTAGTGAATTTTGAATATAGCCGGTGAGAATTCGAACGTTAACAAATAAGCAAGAAGCTTTTTTTGTTAAGTACTAAATTATTTGGATTTTGAAGTGATCTTTAATGTACTAGGATGCTTTAAGTACATTCTCTTCTTTCTTAATCTTTTGTGGTCATCATAGCCAAGAAAATAGAGGTTTTCAATTGCATGTTTTGTTGGGATTTTTTAGTTACGATGGTAAAAGTACGATAGCCCGAGACCGGGTGACCATATATCGTGTTGCAGTATGAGTATTAAGTAATGTTGAAAATTTGGTTGAACCGGACTAACCAAGTCAAACCAGTTTTGGGTTGGACCGACCAACTGATTTGGGATTAGACCGACCGAATCGATATTCTAATTCCGTGAAGGGACACATCCCTTTGCCTAGTGGCGGTTGCATTATTTTATGGATAATGATAACCTTATGGATAAAGGCGACCCTTCATATGGATAACGACAACCTTTCATATGGATAAAGACAACCTTTCGCATGGATAAAGACAACCTTTCATGAAACAATGCATGAATTCGGCCCCTACAAATATGTGTGTGGGGTGGATGATGCGACATACCATCAAACATATTCTTCTTCTTTCTTCCAAAAGTTTCTAAGTATGATTTAGAGTTCTTGAGCCTAGAACCTAAAGTGGTGATAGTTTTATCCTCGGGAGAAATTTCCTGTAACCCAAGGCTTTGTAGAGGGTGGAAATATTCTTTTCGGAAAATGAACGTTGTTCACAAGTCACGACTCTATCATAATTCTGGTCACCCGGTCTCGGACTATCGTACTTGTACCCTCTTCACTAAAAAATCCCAACATGTTTTTCCATTTCAAACAAACTTTTATATCTTGTCAAGACGAGTTGTTCAAATCTTGTTAGAACTCTCTTCAATTCGTCCGGGTTTTGGCCATCAAAGTCTGATATATACTTCATTTTTATGATTGTTAATCCAAACACTTCTTTCGACCTCTTAGTATCGTTCATGCCTCGATCTCAATGAAAAACGAAATGGGTGGTTCTCTATCTTGCTAGAGAAGATCTCTCGCCAAACTAGATCCATATTCTTGACTTGTTATCAATGGAATTGGGATAGTCTTTGCTTGTCCTCTCAGCCAAGATGTGTATGTCTACAACCCCAACATATTTGCCAATTCACTACCCTAAGGTAGCGTGTTCCCGAAGGCAAGACAGACAACTCGAATGAGCATATGTCATTGTAGTAGGCCTCCTAATTATTGGAAACACTGTTTCTCGTACTGAGTATATGTTACTGGATCAGCTGTTTACACACATTTACCAAAACAAATGGATTTGATTAAAAGTTTGAATTAAGCCACTCCTCAATATTAGTTGGCATTTCTTTTTGGCAAAATACACTTGTATAGCCAAAACTTTCACGTTTGTGCCACTTATAGCCACTTTTGGAGAAATACCACCTATAGCCACTTTTTAAAGATGTTGCGTGCCAAATATAGCCATTTCCGTTAGACACTTTAACGGTGTCACTAACGTCGTCAACTTCTTTGACGGTTTGTTGACTAGGCGCCAACTCAGCGCACACGTCAATGCCAAATAAGCCAAAAGTGACACGTCACAATTAAAATTTATTTAATAATTACACGTCATATTAATAAATAATTTAATTTAATTTCCCCCAATTTCTTCTATCTCCCTGACTCCCTCTCTTCTCCGGTCCCATTCCATCCCATATCTTCGATTTCTCCAATTCTCCGCCAATTTCGATTTCCCGACGTCCTGTGCCGATTGCGAATTGCTCTGGCTAACAGCGAGCGCCGGTGAACAATGCTCATCCTCCGCTTCAATTGTCACTCAATCCCACCTTAAATCGCGCTCAATCCCTAAAACATCCGAGTCTTCTTCTCACAAGTCCAGAAAGTCATCATCTATTGGCGGTTGCTTCCTCTGCTGGCTTTCAGTTTCTTTCACATTTTGGTCGACAGACTTCGATTTCTTTGCAGAGCCTTCTGAATTCTCATGGGAAAAAGATCGTAATTTCTGAATCTTTTTGAACTCGATTCCACCATAGTCAACTGTGCTTCAATTCTTCAACAAAGGGTTTGTTCAGGAAAAGGAGAAGAAGAGGAGATGGTAAGCGCCTGACCTAATCTTAATTTTGCCCACTAACCATGAATGGATTCGAATTCAATCTCAATTCTTGTTTGCCCACTCACCATGAATGAATCTGTTGCCGCTCTTCCTCATCCCGATCGTTAATCTGCTGCCGCAGCTCTTCGATTTGATCATGGTAAGGGTTTTCACATGACTCGAACCGAATCTTCTTTTTCTTGTTATGGATTGGATAGAGGAGTCGCCGGAGTTGCTTGTTTGTTGAAACGGGTGGAGATGGGGTGGTAGCCGAGGAGTCCGACGCCGCCGTCGGCGGCGGAGGTGGGTAGAAGAATTGATTGTGGAGGGGAGGTGGGACGGCGAGGTGTTGGTGAGGCGGAGATGAGATGACGTGGCGGGGATGAACTCTTGGGCTTGAGGGTCGAGGGAGCCAGATGTAGATGGTGTTTGCTGGTTTTTGTTGTTCTTTAATTTTTTTTCATTTCATAAATCCACGTGTATATTTACAAATAAAATTGAAGATAAGAGTTTGCCACGTCAGCATCTCCATTTGTCCAGTCACACTTAACGTTAACAGCGTTAAAGAATTGGACGGAAATGGCTATAAGTGGTATTTCGCCAAAAGTGGCTATAAGTGGCACAAACGTGAAAGTTTTGGCTACACAAGTGTATTTTGCCTTTCTTTTTTGGGGAAATATTACTACACAATTCGTCTTCAACGCTTAATCCAATCTCTAATTGTATAATTGTTGATCAAGCTCACTCAAACAGCTATAGTATAATACAACCAGATTTTGTGGTCGATTATGGATTATTTCTACTAGGTATTACCCAAACTGATCCGCACTAGGGCGGGTAGTACCCAACCCACAGTAGCATGGGGCAGGACATTGGGCACGACTTCCAACATCTCCTACCCAGACCAATCGCGTTCTTGACCCATCATATCTCAATTTGCCAATATTTATTCTTATTTCTCCAATTTGGGCTTTTCTCTAGTCATATTTTCACCCTATGAAACCTTTTTTTGTAACAACACTATGAAACTTTACATAAGTGCAAGATTTAATCTTTCAACTAGTTAACTCAATTCCCCGTAATATTATCACTATTTTTCATTCATTAGAGTATTTTCACTACATTTTGTCAGAAAAATAATTTTTTGCATTTATCTTTTTCAAGTAACATGTGAAAATAGATCGACTCATCCCGCCACGTACCCACACAGGTATTACCCGACCCGACTCGATTCATTCTTAGTGTAGGACGAGTATGCGTATTAAGATACCCGCCCCGCTTGCCATCGCTACTTCTACTTGCATCATAATGTAAAGCATTTGGCTCTTTCTTTCTCTAACTAAAAGGTGGTGGTATGATGTTAAAATTGTGTGAAAACTCACATATATTTAACACCTGATCCAGTCCCTTAATCAAGATAACACAAAAAGAGGTACAAATACAACCATTGCCCACTACAAATGTGTTATATGATTAAGATGTATATTGTACACTATCATAATTACCACTCTAACAATTTAACTATTTAATTATCAATCCTCCTCTCCTTTTCATCAACATAAATTTCTGGAAGTTTGGCTTCCTCCTAGAGAAAAGCAACAATGAATTAACAGAAACAGCGAGAGAGACGAGAAAGATAGAAAAAAGACGCAGGATTCTCGTTCTCCACATATCTCTCTCTCTTCCTTCTTCCTTCTTCCTCTGCCCGCCACCGCCACTTCTCGGGATAGTCTCCTCTCCCTTCCAATTGATCTTCCTTTTAACCCTTCCCATTCTTCTTCTTCTTCTTTCATTTTCTCCCACTTCTCCATTTCCTTTCAATCTCGTTACGCATTGTTCTTCACCTGATTTGAGACTACATTTCTAACCCCAGACGAATCCATCTCCATCGTCATCACCGTTTCCTCTTCCAGATGATGGTGGGTTCAAATTTAATTCGTACTATTTGAACATTGGCCGGAAACGAAAACCGCAGAGCCCAGAAACAGGGGAATAGGGGGAAAACCAAAACAGAGCATCTAACATTCCTCTGGTTTTGGGAAAACTTACATCATCTCTTATCATTATATACTTAGAGGTACATTTCTAGAATAAATGGCGGTGATAGAATCGTTGCTGGGAAATGAAGCAAGGAGATTCATCAAGAGGAAAGACAGTGACGCTGGCGAAACAGGTTTCTTCTCCTTCCTCTGTTTTCCTTCACATTCCTAACACTATAGATCTGCAGTAATGGGTTTTTTTATGTGATTCTTCAAATTTTACTCCTTTTGGGCTCTGCTTTTTCTGGGTTTTCTTTCTTTTCGCAAGTAATTCCTCGGTAGAAATCTTACTGGCATTAATTTGTGAGCCAGAAGTAAGAATTTAGTCCAACAAGCAAAGTAGTGATATTTTACTCTGTTCCCCCATTGATCTCTAGGTGCTTTGTTATGATTTCCAAACCCGTAATGTAACCAACTATTGGCGGTTGTGGATCATAACTATAATTATTTTCTTTTCACCGTATTTAGCACCATGCTCTGTTTTCTCACCATCCTGATTGGTGCATTGTGCCTTTCGATTGCCTTTCAACCAGGCCGAGCTCTAGAAGAACTGAGAGGCACGCTGTACAACGATCTTCGAACCTCGGAAGGAGCAAAGAGGCAGCAGCAGAGGTTCTGCGGGCCGCTCGTAGCTATGACATTCAATTTCGTGGTGTCCATAGGGATAATCATGACCAACAAAGTTGTAATGGTGAAAGTGGGATTCAATTACCCAATACTCCTGACATTGATCCACTACGCAGTAGCATGGGTGCTGCTAGGGATATTCAAGACACTGGCATTGCTCCCAGTCTCGCCTCCTTCCAAGTCCACTCCTTACACTTCCATATTCTCCCTGGGGGTCGTCATGTCGTTCGCTTCTGGCCTCGCCAATGCCAGCCTCAATCACAACAGCATCGGGTTCTATCAAATGGCGAAGATTGCAGTCACGCCTACCATTGTGTTTGCAGAGTTCATTCTCTTCAACAAAACCATCTCTCGCAACAAGGTAGTGGCGCTGGGTGTGGTGTCAGCAGGTGTGGCACTTGCTCAAGTGACAGATTTGCAGTTCAACTTCTTTGGAGCTTGCATAGCCGTCGCCTGGATAATTCCAAGCGCGATCAACAAGATTCTGTGGTCGAATCTGCAGCAACAAGCCAACTGGACCGCCCTCGCGTAAGAACGATACTATTGGATAGTATCACAAGAATTCAGAACCTTCCCCCCCACTCACTCATTCCCTTCCTTCTTATAGGTTGATGTGGAAGACGACGCCAGTAACGGTGCTGTTCCTGCTAGCACTGATGCCATGGCTGGACCCGCCAGGTGCTCTGTTGTTCAAGTGGGATATCCAAAACTCATCTGCTATTCTAATGTCAGCTCTACTTGGCTTTCTCCTCCAATGGTCTGGTGCTTTGGCCCTCGGGTGAGTCTTCCAGAGTAGAAAAAGCTCTTACTTATAACACAAGGAATCATGTATGGATGCTCATACTCTTTGCTTGCAGGGCAACATCTGCGACTTCTCATGTAGTGTTGGGACAGTTCAAGACGTGCATGATCTTGATAGGCGGGTATCTACTGTTTGAGTCGGATCCCGGGTTTATCAGCATCTGTGGAGCGATTGTAGCGCTTGGAGGGATGTCGGTTTACACTTCGCTCAACTTGAGGGAGACCAAAAAAGAGAGCTCCGGCCCACATCAGAAGCAGACGTTGCCACTGTCAAAGCCAAAGACAGAGCTGGAACCAACTCCTGAGGAGACCTCTGAAGATGTTGAAACCCTTTCTCTGTTGTCTTCCAATGCTGTATGAAAATTAATTTCAGCCGTAGAAAGAAGACAGAGACAGAGAGATAGTAAATAAAATAATGTACACTAACAGTAGCCTGTCCTTGAGACTACCTCACAAAGAGGCATCTTCATTGTTGGGAATTTTGTTCGAGTGAAGGAAAAACCATGTACAGAATTACTCACATATTTTTCTCTCATAGGAGCTTACCGCAACATAAAGGTCGAGTTTTTCAAATTATACGACTCCGTACTTCATATCATAATGGATACTCTGCACCTAAGGGCAAGCTAGAAGTCAGATATAGCCAGGAAAAAACAGCAATTTCCGCATCAAGAGTATATAGTACGAGAACAAAATAAGGATTCCCAGAATTGACAGAACAAGGAGATGCTAGAACAAAGCAGAAACAAAGCTTCCATTCGCATCAATCGGACAATTACAGTTGTATAATTGTTCTTTGTTCCTCAAAATTTCATATACAGGTGAGATATTCTGAAAAGGAAAATTTGGTTGATCCCACCTATACTCAACCTCTTAAAAACTAACTCCTCTCTCTTGTAGGGTATCCCAATGAATCACCAAGGAAAGACCAAAAAAAAAACCATCAGAATGATTCTCTCTTCTACCCAGGAACAAAAGCATGCTCAATGAGATGGGGGCAAATGAGAACTGGAAACTGAGCTGAATCACACCCTGGACCTATCATCTTCTCTTTTTTCACCTTACACTAGTCAGCAATTTGTAACCCCCACCTATGAAATCAACTTACCGGTTCCTTGAGCCGACTCTGTATATACATTCATTCAGATCGCAACTAATAATGTCTCAAATCAACTTCCCTTGGTTCACCACTGACTTCAGTAAGAAGAGCTCCAATTCATCTGCGCAAGCTGAGGTTGCTGCTGATAAGATGCAGTTGGATGCGGTCCTACCGAGTTAGATGCAGTAGACATTGCCTGAGACTGCTGCTGCAACAATGGGCTCACTGTTGAAGGAGCAGCTATTGTCTGCAGAGGTGGATAGATGCCTGGAAAAGGGCCATGGGCAGCAGCACCCTGTGGTGTAGGAGTGAATGTAAGGTGGTGCTGTCCCTGTGGTGAGAGATGATACAAAGAATTCAGCTGCACGCTGGATAAATCTTGTCCCTGTGCAATCCAGGCTGAAACATCACTCTGTTGGGACCAAGAAGAAAAACCAAAAGTCTCAGACTTGAGACCATAAAATGGAGGAAAGCGAAAATCATTCAACAAATTGCATGAAGTGTTTATAAGCTAAGGTGAGGAAACAAACAAAACAAACCGGTGGTCCTGATGAGAGAATACGGTTCTCCTTCAACTGAGATGCTGATAGATCTTCACTGCTTGCAGAGGTACCCGATGAAACAGCTAGACCAGGACTGAATCCAATGGGGGAAGAGCCATATGAGCTGTACAATGGAGGAAGTGCAATAGGTGTGGAGTTTGCTGCACCAGTTCCTGGCTTGAATTGTGGGTGAGGAGGGAATTTCACTCCTGGAGCAGTAGCTGCTGCTGTTGTCATATATGGATTGCCAGCTGATGGCTGTTGTTGTGACATCCCATTGTGGCTTAAGAATTGATGCATTGGGTGGAACATATAGGGGTTGAAATAAGGTGGATATGGGAGATAGCCAAGTGGATATGGGGGCCTCAGCAGAATCGGTTGTGGAGAAGCAGCTGCTGCTGGCGAGTTTTGTCCTTGTGGAGTTGGACTGGGACTGAGTGATACTGCAAGATTTTCACCCTACAGAGAGAAAGCTCAATTCAGGAACTAAGACCCTTCTTTGAATACTTCGGAAACTAAGTGTTTCAGCTAAAGAAATACAGCATCAGATCCAGCCAAAACAACTATTTCCCAGGCCAAGTCCCCCTCACACAGTAATCAAATAGATTAAGGTCAAGCTAAATATATAAGGAATCCACAGAGAAACATAGGTCGGCAAACACAAGCCAGATCCTCCTGAAGCCACAAATGCACAATTCCAAACAAAATCTATGAAGCCGAGCTAGATTGCCAGAAAAATAAAGCTACTAGGATGGGCACGCCACAATTGGGAACGGTTTCAGTAGGCTGTTCTATCTTAGCACAAAGACTTTTGAGTTGCCATCTCAATTACCAAAGTACAATTTATAGCACTAAAATGAAGAATATCTGCAAGACTGCAACATGACTTACAACAACGAAAAAGATTGCAAAGAGAAGAATAGAAAATGAAGGGGGTAAACAGAGAACTATAGTCTTACAGCAAACGGTGAGATACGAGGAGCATCCCGTGCTCGAGGCTCATGTCCATCAAGTTGCCCATTGTGAACTCCCTCCATGGCTGGCAAGACTCCAAGTCCATAATTTGGGGCAAGTTGAGCAGTGGGGCTTTGATGCCTTTCTAGAGTTTGCGTTCTCTCCTGCTTTGGTTGGTCACACTTTGGATCTGCTTCAAGCAATGGATTGCCTACTGATGATGCAACTTCTTTGAGGACATTTTCTGATTCTGACTCGCATTTATCTGGAAGATCAATTTGCACTGCAGTAGATAAATTCTGACCACTGCAAAGTAATCGGGAACAGAATGACACCAAGTGATTTCAGATTATACTTACCCTCTAATGATTAGCAACAGATTATTCTAAACAATTCAGGTCCAACCATAAAACTACCCTAATGGTAAGGAGTGCATCTTCGTAATCACACACAATGTGGTAAGTCCTGTTACCTTTTCCTTGAGCAAAGACTTTTGTTTCCCTTTCAATTAAACACTAAACAATTTCCTATCTGACTTCTTGTACGAATGTCATGCACGCTATATGTATATAATAAAAGCCTACCTTCTGTTACCTTTTCCTTAGAAAAAAAGACATCTCGTTTCGCTTTATAGAAGACAAAGAGAGACTTGGCGTCGTTTGGTTTTGGTGATACTTAAATCAATGCATTGTGGTCAATGCATGCATTGTAATATACATGCAATAAGAAAAATGATGTAATGTACTTTACATTGTTTGGTTTTGGTGATAGTTCTTTTAGTATTCAACATGTTATTTTATTTTTTATGAGAAATGTCACTTTTGCCCTTGCTTTTATGAGAACATATACATATAACTAGGGGTATACTTGAAACAAAAAAGGAACCCAACAATCTCCTCAAAACTATCTCAACAATCTCAAGTTTTAGTAGAGATAGTACTATCACTCATGGTTGATCACACAGGCTCTCATTTTGAGTGATAGTTTCCATCACATCAAGCAAACAATGCATGTATTGTTAGTGCAGAAAATTCAAAAAAACAATGCATTGTGGACAATACATGCATTGTAACTAAACCAAACAACCCCTTAATCACAGAAGATAGTTTTAACAAGTATTAAATCACAGACCTGGATGGTTCCTTTGCAGAATCAGCAGTCCCATCGGATGATTCAATAGCATTTGCAGACTTGACATCCCTGTTGTGACCATTGCCGGAATTCATTCCAGTGCTAGAACTAGATTCAAAGCTTCCAAAGGTGAGTCCACTCTTTAAAGCCTGAGGAACTTTGAAGTGGTTAGGAAAAGTAACATGTCCATTAGAAACAGCAAGTGCAGGTTTAGAGTCTGGATGCAACTGAGAACCAACTTTTGCATGTCCATCAGCAAGTGAGGAACCTGATCGACAAAGGCCAATTAGAATCCAATTTTAGAAGCAGTGAAAAAGGAGATCCAAGAAATTGTGTCACTGTTAGACCTAGACTTTCACTGAAGAATCTCATTGACACCGAGGAAGATTGTAGCATATGAAATTGACGAAGCATGCCATGAGGCAAAGTAACTACCTTTGGAAGGTGTGATAGACACCTGAGGTAGCTGGCTATCATACCCAGAAGAAGGCTCTATTACCGACGAAGTGTCTTCAGTTGACAAAGTCAAGGGCTGGAGGAGTTCAGAAAGCTGGCTCTTGTCAGCTTCTTTTGGTTTTCCGGACACCCTTTCAGAGTTCAAACTCAGAGGGCCAGCGTTCTCAGTTTTAGTCAGCTGTGGCTTGGCAGCTTCAGAAACATGCCGAATTCCCTGAACATAATTCGGCTCAGTAGCAATCAACCGACTCCGTACTCTTTTACTTGCATCCGCATAAGAATAAGAACCCGGAGCATTTAACTTCGGCACATTCTTGATGGATGAAACCGACTTCCCTTGGTCGTTCTGAGTCAAGCTATCAGCTGTCTGATCAGGAGCAGACACTGGCAGTAATTTAGCTGTCTCTGATATCACATCTAACTTATTCGCATCCACTAGTCCAGTTTTTGAGCCTTTTCCAACATCATCAACAGAAACTTTTGACCCACACCCATGACTAGGATTCTCACTGTCAAGATTTGAAGGGACACTTGTGTTGACAGCCACCACTCTGCTACAGTAGAAGATACAACAGAACAAGCGCCACAAAAACCTTTTAGTGACAGAATGGTACAAGTGTTGAATTATAAGAAAACGAAACACCAAATCAAGTACCCACTTTGGTGGAGGAAGTGGATGGTTATTGTGTGGTCTCTGCGTTCCAGCCATACCAGTTGACGGGACTCTCTCTCTCAAGTGATTCCCTCCATTTTCCTTTCGATGAGCTGCATTCCTCCCACCAGCACCATCTAAAGGAACAGCCACCAAGACAATATTTCAGTTATTGAACAATTCTGTATATTGCTTGCAAAGATGCATTCCAGACCAACAAGCCCTTTTTTCCAATTAGACAATAAAATGCTTAATAAGTACACAACATTGAGCCATGGAAACTTTCATCGCAACACAAGGGGTCTAAGACTAAATATTTATGCTTGCTAAAGTAGTTGGAATGAGTAAATATGAAAAAGATACAGCTATTGCAATATTCTTCAACTGATCAACAAGAGATCCTAGAATCTACACTGGAGGTCAACCCAGGCACAAAACATGTTCCATTCCCAGTGTAAACAACCTCAAACACAGCATTCAGGGGGGTACACTTTTAGCATACTACATCTAGGACAGCCACAGCAGTGGGAGAAAAGCACGAAGCATATTGTAACAGAACCAGTATGGTCAATAGTTACCAGAATAATTTCCTCGACCACCCCTACCCCCTTGACCTTGAACATTTGATGACTGCAATGATACAAACAATGGGTTATCATTCAGAAGCCAACAAGTCAAGAAAACGTAAGTTACACTAAATAGATGCAGAACCAAATTCATATTTTGCAAGGTCAAAAGGTATCATCTGAGAGTACATTATGAAATAATACAGTGTCCTTCAACTACAGCCCAAGAACACATGAATAACTAGATTCAAAATGCAATACAACATAACTTTTTCAAGTGTGCAATTTTAGTTGCTTCGTTATCCCATAAATCTAATGTAATAGTTTTAAGTGGCCATACTATATCATCGAGGCAAAAAGAAAGCTTGTGCAAGTGCAACATAGAAGGTTATAACATCATTAATATCGCTAAGTATATGTGCCCTTAGTCCTTTGTGTATGATACTTTCCTGTATTTCTTGCTATCTACCAAGTAAGCAGTCAAGGATATTGTGAAAACATGTAAGTGCATGTCAGACGAATTTAAACAAGTTGAAAAGGCTATACTCAGTTCTATCACAGCCTACAATTTTTTTTTTTTTTTTTTTTGTTAAGATTCTGATGCAGGTTCCCTAGTAATCAAACACCTGGAAGCTCGGGATGAGAAGAACTTTTTGACAGATATCTCACCTCTTTCTTCCGTTCACGCTTCCTTTTCACCTCATGAAAAGTATCTGCAGATTACAATCAATCACAACATAGCATGGATAAGCCAATTGCTAGACCAATAGTGCTTAAAGAAGATCAATAGAATGAAATAACAGATTGACTAGCCCCAGGAATCATTAATACAATGGTCAGACATTCTCCAATTTTTCAGTGGCAGGGAAGTTTCTCAGGAATCCAAGGGAGGGATTAACATCAGAATAGTTAGCTGTTGTATGGCTAGACCTTCACTCTGTATTCTTGAAATCTTTTAAGAGAATCAAACATAAAAGGATAAGGCTTGAACTTGAAAGAACACCCACGAAAATAAGCCAGAAAACCTGCTGAACTCGTTAACGTTTCCCCTCCAACAAAAACAATCAGAAGCAAAAAGGAAACCAATAATCAAGAACCTGTCCTTCCCCACTCCCCCCACATCAGGATAAGAAAACAACAGCTAAGCCTTCTGATAAATAGTTACTAATTAGAGCAGCAATATCCAACTACTTCGCAGTATCAAGCTTGCTACTTTGTTGCTCCATTGACCGACACAGCACGGAAACCTTCCAACCCAGATCACAGAGTACTTTTATAAAGGAGAGTGGGTAAAGTGAATTAGACGATACCCATTAAACCCTAGAACAATGCATCTTTGAAAACGTAAACAGAAACCCTGACATATCATTCCAGTGTCAAACGCAACAGCTTGTTTATACCTAGATAGAGAAGTTTCTGAGCAGTCTCATTGGGATCCATGGCGCAGTCCTTAAGCACGGCATAGATTTCCTCGTCGCTGTGTTGCTTCCCAGTGATCTCCCTGATATTGTGTATCACTTTCCGTGCATTCTCTGGGATCGCAACCCTAGCAGGCCCTCCACCACCTCCGCCAAGAGCACTGCCGCCGCCGCTCATGGTATTTAACTTTCCCCAATAATGTCGTTATTGCTGTTGTCGTCCAACCCCTATTGGAGATGGTCTAATAAAGAAAGGGACGGAGAGAGAAGTACAAGAAATGGGATGGGAAAACAGAGAGGGTAAAAAGAGAAAGGGGAATCGATCAATCGAATGACTTATTTATAGCGACTCAATTCGGGTTTCGACCTTATTACTAACTAGCGCACGGCCCGGCCCGTTGGGCGGGTAAACTAACCATAAGCGGCGCATTTGACAAACGTTGGAATCATAAGTTAAACCTGAATTGAAGTTCATATAAATCAATCAAATATTTTTGGGAATACTATGTTCACCATTGAAGTGCCTTCCTCTCCATTCTCATTGCCACTCAAAATCTTCAATCCTTGCCTTGTAGTAACTCTTGACAATGCAACATATAGCTGACCATGACTAAAAACTTGTCTTTGAAGACATAAACCAACATTGGCTAGTGTTTGACCCTGACTTTTGTTAATAGTCATGGCAAAACAAAGAGCCACAGGGTATTGCCTTCTAATGAGGGTGAAATTAAGACTCTTGTAATGGGTTGATAATGTCAATCTGGGAAGGAAGACGCGATCACCGATGTTGGTACCTGTCAAAATCTCCACCTCAATGAACCATTTACCCAAAGTCTTCACAACCATTCTAGTACCATTACAAAGGCCAACAGTTTGATCCATATTCCGTAATAGAATGACTGGACACCCAACTTTTAGTTCCAACTGATGGTCTGGAAAGTTTCCAATCCGGAGGTTGTTCAAAAACTCGGTTGAATAATCAGCATCCACAACTCCCTCCTTCCCAGGGTCCATCTCAATAGAATCTGCGCTGTAATATGCCACTACATCTCCTGGGAATTGACTTAGAATATACTCATTCACTGCAGAAACCATATCATGGTGTGGAGCCAAGATAGCTCGATTGACTAAATAATTATGATCTCATGCATGACTACTAAGATCACTGTATATAGAGGCGACAATATCAATGACAGGATCACTCTGTCGAGGAATTACTAATTCCTGAGGTATGCGAATCAAAGACTCACCAAACACATCTGAATCTACTCCGTCTCCTACTTGCAAGAGCCAGTTCTGGAAAGTAGTTATCTCAACAGTTTCCTCCGGAGAGCAATTAGATCGTGCTAGCCGCATATTTTCAACTAACTTAATTACCCTCAAATGGGGCCACAGGTAAGACCTCTTTATAGATGAGTTCACAATATCACCTCGTGAAGCTTTCAATACTATAGGCAAAGTTTGCCGGAAATCTCCTCCAAAAACAACTGTAAGACCTCCAAATGGCTTGCCCTGACTGTTTTCATACCGAAACCGCAAAATATCCCGCAATGATTTATCTACAGCTTCCACTGCATGCTTGTGTGACATAACAACTTCATCCCAAATAATCAATGAAGCACGCTGAATGAGCTCTGCTAATTCACTACCCTGGTCAATATGACATGTCGATCTACCATCAAGGTCTACTGGAATGTGAAATCGAGAATGAGCCGTTCGACCCCCATCCATTAAAAGGGCTGCAATCCCAGAAGAAGCTACACATAGAACAATCTTATTTTCCGATCGCAATTTCAAGCAAATGACTTTCCATAAGAAGGTCTTTCCTGTCCCACCACATCCATCAATAAAGAATGCATTTCCCTTATCTGCATACACCGATTCAGTAATTTCATCAAAAGCTTTTTTTTGTTGGGCATTGAGCTTGGAAATCATACCTTCAAATTGCTCACGAAGACTTGCAACATTGTAATTAAGTTCTGCAGTGATCAATCGATTAGATGAAGATGACATGTTACCAGTATCAATAACTGGTAATCCAGGAAAATCAGATAGAGTTTTGCAATTTCTTGCAAGCAATTTATCTATCTCCAGCAAACAACATTCCTGTAACTGAAGATCAGACATTTCTAAAGTAGGCATATTTAGTTCCTTCCGACGGGCATACAAAATATCATCAGATAACAGTGCCCAATTCCGCTCCCATAGTTTTCCAATGTCTGAAACTTGACAGAGGCTGATGATAGTAACAAATAAAGTTCTAAGCTTTTTACCGGATGCCCAAAGAGCCGCTTCGGCCAAACAGTCATTCCATTCATTATCTTCTGCCAACAGACCATGCGCATAACATGCTTCCTTAAAAGATTTATGCAAAACTCCATTCACTGTCCTGATGTCCTCAAAACTTTGAGCACCACGAACAATATGTAGAAGCATACGCAGATAGAACCTATCATTTATAGGCGAAGGATGACAATAATACAACCGCCCAATACTGAACATGGATTTCCTCTTGTGCCACGCCTGCTTTGTTTTATCCCAAACATAATGTTGCGGAAATTCTACAAATGTATATTTCCTTGCTTCTGGAAATAACTTATTCATTTTCATCCATTCCAACAGCATAGAGGTTTGAGCACGCTTAGACTGGAGCACACCTTGAGGATTTGAATGCTGCCTTGAGACAACTACATTCTGCCCAGGAAGATGATAAGACATGCGCAACACTGATGGGTACTGTGAGTAGACATCAAACTTGAACAACCTCCAGCATGCTTCACCAGATGTGATATACCGACAATCAAGATATGCTTTTATCTCATCAACCCGTGGTGTGGGATTTGAACTTGATGCACCAGATTCAATTCCAGTATTAGTTTCATTGTCAACTAATGAAGCTTTTGCTCGATCTTGTGGTTTGTTGATATACTTGAACAAATATTTGATTGCCCTACCATGTCAAACAAAAATTGGACACAACAAAACTAATGAGTAGTCATGCAACAACCAAACTGATACGTTTAAACCAATAAAAAAAACACACCAAAAGCTACCAAATTTGGCACTTTCCATGGAAGGGAATAAAAAAGTAGTGTCGAGCATAAATATTATATGTGATATGAAAAACATACCTGGATTTATTGCAGAACTCAACATTTATATGTGCATCAAATCGCAATAATAAATAGCGATTGTACGGCACGACAAAACGATTGTCCAATGACACAGAGTTAACTTTAAAAGATATTCCACTGTCACGTCGTCGATATTTGGCAAACCCATTATCATCAATCGTCGTTTGCTCACAAAACGGCTTTGGAAAATGTTTAGTACACACACCACCTTCTGTGCAAGGAGCATTACGGCCCAAAAGACCACATGGACCATGCAGCATAAAAGTAGTTACAGCCCTATAGCCTTCTGGATCAATATCAGAGTTTGGAATTTCTGCGGATATGACGGAATCAATGGCCGTCGGCCCAGTTAGTTTACATTCCGAAGCTAGGAAGACCAGCAAATGAGCATGGGGAAGGCCACGCTTTTGAAACTCAATTGCCAGCACAACTGCAAACAAATCCAATATGTATTAAGTTGGAGCCTGTCAAAACCTTATTATGTAAAGGACAACCTGCATAAAATAATTCAAACATATGAAACAAAAGTATTGCTCAAAACTAAAATAACACTTATGGAGCATGTACGACTTACATCCAGTGGTAGTCCCAAATATTTTCTTATCTCTTATCTCAAACATTAATTGCTGCAGTTTAAGCTTGAAGACCCGAGCAATAATATCAGATCTATTGACATCTTTCCGACCATCTGCGGTTACCAAATCAACCATAAACTGGATTTCCGGCCAATTTGCATTACAGGTGAAGGTAATAAATAAATCTGGGTAGCCCAACCACCTAAAAATAGCCATAGCATCCTGGAAGTTTTCATACTTGTACCGTGGACTTCCTGTGTGGGAAGCAGCCAAAATAACATGTTTTCCAGTCATTTCTAAATCAGAATCACCACGGAGGAATGCATCCACTAACCCACTCAGATAATGGGAACGAAGTTTTGTTTGGTTATTTCGGATCCAATCAAGCCGTTGTGCCTCTACTAATGCATACGCATTCACAACATACTGCTGGAATAATTTCCCAGATAATAAAACCGAATTTGACTCCTGAAATCTACTCTGTAGGCGGTATGCATAATAATCACACTGGGACAGTGTCTTGTCATTCCAAAGATTATCATCATCATCATCATCACAGCTTATGTCCGGATGCCATCCATCCTCTCCATAAGGAAATAAAATTGGGTATTGTAAAGCCATTAATGATGGATGATAATAATTAATTCTCTCCAATTCAGAACTCTTATACTGAACAATAATATCTGGCTCAAATGTATCTTGCCCTGTTTCATCAACAATCAAGGCTGCTATGTCATTCCCCGTCGGTAAATCATATTCTCTCCCATCATGAGCACGCTTGGCAATTAATTTGATCTTCACCTCTTTCACATTGCCTTCCTGTATCTTTTGCCTAGCCATCCGAAAGGTTTGAACCAGAACATTATTCCTATCAAACATTTCTTGCAAGCGTTCAACAATATCTGGTCGCAATGAACTGGAGGCATCATCAACTGGAAATAGATGCATACGACTCTGTAGTTCAGAACTTGAGTCATGAATGTATAATTGGGCAAACCTCGGTGGCTGACCGTCTGCAGGTAATAAGCTGCCTATAGAGTGATAAATTTGTCCTCCTATAGAGTACACATACACCCCTCGACCATCATTTATACCACGATCCACTTTCCCGCCCAGGGAGATAAAGCAAAACACAGCATTGTATCTACGAATGGCTTCCCGGAAATGACGGCTCATAGGTGTAGAAGAATGTAACAATTCATTCAAAAACTCTGGTGGAGCACGTCTAGGGGGTAGTTTTACCTTTCCAGCCTTACAACACAATGAGAAAGTGGGATTAACACAACTCCTAGTAGGAACCGTACTTTCTTGCACCCACATAATTGCTGCACAGTATTGACAAATGCTTGTAGGCTCACCGAGACTAAAAAATTCCACAACAGGATATCCTACAATCAAAGTAGTCACATAAGATCACTCACACATGATGCATACATATTTACAATATACAAATATAAAATATGATGCCACAAACCATGGGAACGGGAGAACCCCCTCGGTACAGCATTAACCATCCGCCTTTTGTACAAATGAATCGCTCGCATTAAACGTGCCCTTTTTGTCCGAAGGTTGGAGATA